TAATGAAAAAGACTCAAATGTAAAGATTGTATTGCATTTATTTAACCACAAATTTTTCGATATATCGCATTTGCCGTAAATTGTCTTTTATGAAAAACAAAACAAATATCTAAAATTGCATGAAAATCCACGCTGGCCTATCCAGCGTTACACACAGCGTACAGTGTCAGGCGCTAGGTACATATCACTAAAACTACATAGCAATTCAGAACATCCATGACCATCAACATCATCGTCGTCGGTATCAAAACATCATCGTAACCAACAACAAGAGCCTTTTCTTACGGACAAAACTATCACAAAATGGCGAATATTCAGGACTGCGGCCCACACACGTGCGTTTCCTCTGTGCTTCTGTTCCAAGACGGCATGCGTTGATGAAGCTGCTGACGGTTCGCTGTTTGTTTATTCACCGCTGCCAACAAAGCATCTGATAACTTCTCGCCTTATCCCCAGCATGAATTTATTTTTGCAAGTTGCCCTTCTAGGAAGCTCGGTGAATTTGTTACCCTGAGCAGTGTGCATCTCAGTCGGCAGTTAAATCCGCCAATTTCCCTCACTGCTACCCCCCTGTTTACCACTGTTTAAGACTGTCACGGGGTTCTTATGCCATTGTTTAGTTTGTTTGTTTTGTTGACTGATGCAAGATGCGGCTCGTTGAACACTGTCCTCAGAACAGGCGCGGATGCGACAATGCAGAAGAGACTTGGGAGAGTGGCAGACGGCAGAGATAAACAGGAACGCAGATTGACACGGAGAGACGAGGAAACGGATTGACGCAGAGATAAACAGACACGCAGACTGACACGGAGAGAGAGAGAGAGACAGTTATTTATTGACACACTCAGAGATATAGCCACAAATCTATAGACACAGACAGATATAGATAATAATATGCAGTGAGATATGGAGAATGGTAGACGCAGAGACACGGAGAGTGATACAGAGAGGCACATAGACAAATAGACAAACAATAGATTTGAAGCTTTCGTGACTGCAATGATTCATATTCTTAGGTTTTTTTTTTTTCGGTAAAGTCACGTAGGTAAAAACATTAAAAAGTAAAATAAAATAAAAATCACGACGTTTCGGAGGCAACACAAGCTTCCGTCTTCAGGTGGTACCGTCACAGCCACGACAGCTGTATCAAGTAAATGAGAGATTGCAGGAGTTACCACTGCGTTTATATAATGGTTTGAGAAGGTGGTGGGGCAAGGGCCGCATACTTATTATTAATATGGTAAGGTGAGGCTTGAGACTAAGAATAGACTGCATAACAAAGGCTGAGCCTTTGTTATGGAGAGGTGCGGTTTGTGACTCAACCTGTAACAGGGAGACCACCACTAAACATGGTAAAAGAGTAATGGTTTATTTTACTTTTTAATGTTTTTACCTACATGACTTTACCGAAAAAAAAAGAAAAAACCTAAGAAGACAAACAATATTTGGTCTTGGGGACCCCTAAAAAAGGGAAGCCCCCTGCACACATCAACATTGCTGCACACGTCTAAAGAGCGCAATTTGGCCAGATATCCCGTACGCACACACAACTGTTACCTTTTATACTCGAGTGTATGTGAGAGAGACGTTGGTTTGTGTAGCTCTCACGACCACCTGTCATTTGTGATGTCCGACGTTTTGCTCCAAGTGCCGGCAGCTTCGTCGGGAACTGATTGATTTTAGGTTACATTGTTTCAGTTCCTGAAGAATCTGCCGACAATTCGAGTGAAAACGTCAAATAATCACAGACAGGCCAAAAGCACATCGTAGAGAAACGTAATTTCCCAAAAGCAAAATAAATCGCATGCAGTAAAATCTTAACGGTCAATGAATATGCAAACAAGTGCACAAAAAGCACGCATTAAGCAAAAACCATCAGCAGTTCCTGAAGAACTGCATTGTGGTCCTCTTGCCATTGAAAGGTTGTTTAGCAAATTATCCAACTGTTTGGGTTTTCCAACTTGCACTACATATCTGTAATGATCGGTTTGTCTCATTCACAGATTGGATTGCAGTAGAATCTGTGTAATTTCTCAATCTGCCCTCTATCACACACACACACGGTGCTATTTCTACCCATGTGTGTCTGTGTAAGTAGACCTGGGGGTCAATTACAATTGTAATTGTGTCATTCATAATGAATTGCAACCACGGTGTAATTGCAATTTCACCTAACAATGCCGCTGTGTTTGCAATAATAATTGACCCCAGGTCTGTGTGCAAGGCGTGCGTGTGAGTCATTGCTTTGTGAATTCTCAACCCGCTCCTATATATTGAACAGGCTGTTGGGGCAAGTGCCGTTAGCGAGCACTTACTAAGGCCAGCACAGCGCACGAGATGGTGGATGGCCAGGAACCACGCCCGGCCGCCTTTGTCTCCCCAGTGCTGATGTTGACACATCGTAACGTATACTCATTTAAGGCTGAGTCGACCTAGCGGGAAGCCCATAATCGCTTCAGATATTTGTCACTGACGTTGGCCGTGAGTGTGAATCCAACTCGGGTCGCCGGGTTCGTAGCGTAGTGTGCCAAAAACCACTCCGCTACCGCCCCTACATCTCACACGCGCACACACAACTCGTGCTGTGTTACCCGTGTGTGTGTGTATGTATGAGATATATATTTGTGTAGCTCTCTGTGAATCGATTGTTGGATTTAACCGCGTGTTGCTCGACATGAAGGGGCTCCCAGAAGGTGGAGTGAAGCGTCGGACGTCATGCTGAGCAACAGCACAGAACAACCCGAGGACACGCCGGGGACCTAACCAGCACACCCGCGAAAACCTACGGAAGCGGCACAACATCCGAATCGTAATTGTTTTTTTGGAACACAGCGTAAGTAAAATGTGTGTCGCGCACGCTCCGCCACCCGACACAGCCAATAAGTAAGTCGTCACGTGGACAGACGTGCCAATTTGTTACGGCTTCAGCAGCAGCAAACGTCGCCGGTCTTCTGCTTTGCTGGGTGCGACGTCGCCTGCGCGATTCGCCCAAAATAGTTCCAATCACAACAACATCGGTCGCGAAAAAGCACTACACGCGGTCTAACATCTGCCTGTGAATTCCCAATCTGCAACCCCCCCCCCCTCCCACCCCCGAGATATATCACACATATTATTGGGTCTTTCGGTAAAGCCACGTAGAAATAATAAAAATAATGATAAAAAATAACAATATCACGACGTTTCGATCGCAACACAAGCAATCGTTATCAGGTGAGAAATATCGCGGGAGAGCTGCTGAGAATATATGGTGGGAGCGCTGCTAAGGCAGAGAGTTATAAAGGTTTGGGATGGGTGTAGCCCAAGGGTCAGTGGGAGGGGCTAGAGATGAAATTTACATGTAAATGTAAGATCGGGTAAATCTTGACAAACGAAGCTGTGGGGGTGGCCATTGTATTGTGAGAGATTAGCATGTCCATGTAAGAAATTTGCTTGTAAATGTAAGCTCGGAGAGAGCTCCGCAAGAGCATCATATGGAGGTGGGATAGAATGGCAGGCCGCTATTTACTAACACAGCTAACGGTGGCTGTGTTAGTGAATGTAACTCAGAATCGAAAATAACTGCTAACATGGGTAGGTAGGGAGGAAACATCACAGCCAGTTATGACCTAAACTGGTTAATAACATCCTTCCAATGATTGCTCAGTTTGTACCCATATTCTCGGTTGAAATTGTGTTTGTGTTTATATATCTGGATGGCTTCCTGAACGAATCTTTGCTGATAGCCAGTGGGCTTGCAGAGTACCTCCGTCTTGGAAAAATCGATTTCGTGTGTGCCCACAGCGTTAAAATAATGATCAGCCACGGCTGAGGTATTAGTCCTACCGTGTTTCAGATCTGCCTTATGTTCACGAACACGGTCCGAAACATGTCGCTTAGTTTCCCCAATGTAACAGCTGCTGCAGACACAGCTTAGTTTGTAGACACCGGGGTATTGCATGTCAGGGATCACATCCTTTACAGATGGGATCAAATCACGAATTGTATGTACTTTGTTGAATCGTACCTGGATCTTGTGTTTGCTCATGATTTTGGAAATATTTTTGGTGACACCTGCTATGTATGGCAAGGTGATGGTTTTGATTGGGTCCTCAGATGTTTTTTCCCAATGGTTGGGGTGGTAGCTTTACGAATTGTGTAGTCTGAATACCCATTCTTTTTGAGGGCTTGGTGTACGTGCTCCAGTTCACTGGTTATGTGGTGATGGTCAGAAATACGAGCTCAATGGTATAGAGGTTTGATGAGGGAATTCTTCTGGGATGGATGGTGGTGGGAGTCAGGTTTTAGGTAGGCATCCGTATGGGTGGCTTTCCTGTAGACAGAGTGTCCCATTGAGCCATCAGGTCTCTTAGATTAAAACATCCAAGAATGATAACTTGCCATCTTTTCCACTTCCATGGTGAATTTGATGGCTGGGTGTATGGAATTGATGTGGTTGAAGATTTGGTCCAGAACTGGTAGGCCATGTGGCCAGATGACGAACGTGTCATCTACGTATCTCTTCCACAAGGAAGGACGTAGGGTGGAAGCCTGGATGGCATCTGTCTCAAATTTCTCCATGAAAACATTGGCTACAACTGGAGATAAGGGAGAACCCATTGGGGTACCTTCAACTTGTTTGTAGAATGTTCCATTCCAGGTGAAGTAAGTGTTGGTGAGGCAGTGTCTAACCAGGGTCAGTACATCAGCATTCAGTCCTTGTTGGACCAAATCTTCAATGATTGCAATGGTGTCAGGCACAGCAACTTTGGTAAACAAAGATATCACGTAGAAACTGACAAGCAAATTACCTGTAGATAGTGAGATGTCTTTAATTGAAGATATCAAGTGAGTTACGTACAGCTCAGGCGGTCTTACCAGTATATATCACACAAAGACACACACGGCAGCCACGTGCGCGTACGCACGTGTAGGCGAGACATCGGCGTGGATTTCTCAATCCACCCCAAAGCATGCCCTCCCCCCACTCCCCCCTCAACCCCACGCCACCTCACCGCCCGGTAGCTTACAGAACCCCCGTGGCCATGATTCTCCCGTCGATGTCCTCGTATATATCCTCGGCGGTGATGGCGGCGAGCCGCGATGCCCTCTGCGAGCGGCGGAGCGTGCTGGCCGCCCTGGCGCGCGCCCCGTCTTCGCCGCCGCCGCGGTACCACAGGTAGCAGTAGCCAAGCGGCAGCAGCAGCGTCGCGTAGAGGATGTGCAGGCCGATGTCGCGCTGCGCAACCTCCCAGCACGAGATCGAATGGGGCCCCGCGCACTCCGTACCCAGCTCCAGACCGCTCAGGGTGCTGATCAGTGTGCGCTGCACACACCACGGGCGCGGTAGTTGGGAGAAGCATTGTCGTTATCATCATCGTCGTTGCCATCACCACCACCAATAGCATCATCACCATCATCATCATGTTCTATTCGCAGCTCCATCATCATCATCATCGCCATCATCACCGTAGCCATCATCTTCGGACCATAGTTAAAAATTTCCCACGACTTGATAGCCCGGCGGCTTGGCTTGCTGCAGTTGCACCGCCTGCACACTCAGTGGCTACGATAGCTGGTGGGCAAGGGAGGGCAGGCGGGGTACGTGGGCAGGGCATGGGACCGCTGTGGCCTGAGGGCCCACGCCAGGTGAGCATTGACACCCAGAGCTGGCTTTGCGCGAGGGCTTTAGGGGCTTACAGGTTGGGAGCTGTCGATATGTCAAGGGTCTCTAACAAAAATATATAGACAGCTTTATACCGTTGGAAACGCAGTGCCGTAGTAGGGTATAGAGATTGCCGGCATAAGGCACTACCACTAGAGTACAACGTACCTCTCCATGAAATTCATCGATGATTGCACCCCGCATTTGCATTACATTTGAGGTCAAAAATCAGTATCACGAAGCCACACCATGGCTAAGATGCTCATGATGAATTTATTTTGGGTTAGATCGCGTAAATAAACGTGCCAACAAAACATGCCAAACACAACATTGGTGGTGAAAGCCTTCGCGTCAATAGGCTAAGATGGACGTGGCAACGTCAACATAATCCGTGGCATACCTATGGGACCCTTTTGCCAATGTCAATATTATGAGAGAGGAAAATAAGAATGGGCGTTACGCTTTCTGACAAAACAGGTGGTAAGATGTTCAAACACCGAATAGATACCAATTTCAAGGCATCGTGTACCGCATTAACCACAGATACTTGTGGCAAAACATGCAAACAAACACGCTCTGATAATATATGCATTGCCTTTTAAACTGGTTGGCCTGCACCTGAGACAGCCTTCTTTATGGCCTCTTCTCAACAGTGTTAGACCAGAGAATGTCAAAAGGCAATAAAACACCAGTTTCATTGCGAGAAGGGATAAAGCCTGTTCTTTTTTTTCATCATTTTGATACTGGCAAAAAGGTATCGTAGATATAACACGAATTATGTTGACAAGCCGCATCCATCTTAGCCTTTTAGCGTGTAAGCTTCCGCAACCAATGTTGTTTTTGGCATGTTTTGATGGCACTTTTTTACGCGATCTAACCCAATTTGCAATTTTTATTTTGTTCATCATAATTTAGTTTTTGTCCTTGATCTTAATTCCTGGTGCGGCTGAAATTTCAACGCTGTAAATTCCAGACAACGGGACTCTTGTCCGACTTAACCTCGACGCCGATCGCACCATGAGGAACTTGGGCTTGCCGCACGTCGCGTTGACGCGCTCCAGCTGGGCCGCGTCGTGCAGCCACAGCACGAGGTAGCGGATGGAGCAGTCGCAGTGCCAGGGGTTGTCCTCGAGCGTGAGCTTCATCAGCCGATGGAGGTGGTCGAGCGCGCCCGGAGGCACCGTCTGCAGCTGGTTCCCCTGCGCATGACGGCAGGGGTGGGGATTTGAGATGGGGGGGGGGGCGGGGGGTGTGGGGGCGGGGTGCAGAGATGGGGGGTTAACCTTATTATTAATAATATGATTACGCTTGTTTGCCCAGGAAAGCCTCGCATAATCTCGTGATATATTTTCTTTCTTCTCAGGAAGGTCCTGCTTTGTGTTCGCAGTAGGGGGGAGGAGGGGGGAATGTTGGCCGTGTATAATCCCCACCGAGCAATTTGCCGTGGGATAATTTGCTTTTATTACTTGTCAGATTTTGACGGTCACGCCGAGTGGCGCGCGGTTTGGCGCCACCGCTCTTGCGAATGCCCTCGCGGGATCTTTGACGTCCACCGCGAAGCAGACGGTGGCGGAGCATTTGACTGCGCTGAATGCACACCACAGTGATAATCAGGGTGGCCGCTGGACAATAACCGTGAACCTCCACTAGCTATGAGTGGCGAATGCGCTACTACCCGGCCGCATCACCGCTCACATCCGAGACGGAATGCTCCACGTCCATTTGTCGTGCTCTACTTCCATGCTTCCACATCTGTGAGTTCATTTTCTATCTACAGATCTACAGTAGCCGTAGTGGGCCATAACACGGACAGATCTCAATGAAAGGCCACGATCGCCGCCGTCATTGAGGACATGGCACGTTAAGAGGGAGCTGTGGGTTATAACAAATGGCCATAAACAAAGTCACCTGGAATGCGCCCGATCTCATCCGAGCTTGGGAGATAAGCAGACGTTGAGCCTGGCTATCGCTTCGAAGGACGACTATCACACACGAACACGTTTTCATAGGGCTGCAGCAGAGGGCAGTGCGGCAAAACCCATAGTTGCACTGTGCTTCTGTGCTCCCGTCAATATGCTGCCCGCCGTCACCAACCCGCGCTGACGAACATGGCGAGGTGTGGTCGGATAACCCCCATGACCCGCACAGCGTGCAGGAGACCCTCATCCAGCAGTGGATTGACAAAGGGCCTCTTGCGTAGACGCAGATATTTGAATTCAGCTGAGAAGAAAGAACCCGATGACCCGTGCAGCCCTTTGTCGTAGCTGTGCAGCCCCAGCTGGGGGTCGGCAATGGTGGGGAATTCGAGAAAGTTACACGGAGAGATCAATCAAAGAATCGTACTTAAACTCAAATGTTACGTGAAACTCGAATGAAGCAACGGCGCAATACAAATCGCACAGAAAGCGAGGACGAATATTACGCTCGCGGATTCGCAGCTGTCAAAAGCGCAGTTTGCGAATCGCGTGTCACGCGGGGCCCGGTGGCATGCCCGACCTTATCAAGTTTCAAGGCCGATTATTTTTTGTTTAAATCTCCCCGCTTATCCGAGATGGGTGACAATTCCGTTCACGCCAAGACGCGGAGGAGGCGCCACCCGCCGTCGCAGCTGCCGCGCGACTCTCGCTCTGCGCGATCGGCGCCACTTTCAGTCGGGGGAGTTCGCGTCGCTCGAACGAATTTTGACGCCATCCGCGGCACTCGTTGCTCGCATCAGACTGAGATGGTTATAAAATGAGATGCAGGTGGCGATGATGATGATGGTGGTGGTGACGATCGTGACGGCGGTGGTGGTGGTGGTTACAATCATGACGGTGGTGGTGGCGGTGATGGTTGTGACAATGGTGGTTTCGTTAGTGGCAGTGTTTGTGGTGGTGGTGGCGGCTTGCGATGGTGGTCTAACTGCGGATAGGAGGAATCTAAGAGAGGTATCCGAGTTTGTTAAATTGATGCCAGATTAACATGTAGGCTTTCGCGACCAATATTATTGATCGTCAAATCGCCCGATTGAAGCTGGTTGTAATTACCAGTGAGACGTCGTACACAAATTGCAAATGTTGTGGGTTTACTCTCCAACACACGGATGTGCTGAAGTAGTAATTAATTGGCTCGTTTTGTTTACGTTCCAAACCTTACTAATTGGCTGTGTCGAGTGGTGGTGGTGGTGGGTTAACGACACATTTCTATTTATGCGATCTAACCCAAAAAAATGTTACAAATAAATCGATCCCATTTCCACATAAGTAACCAATAATTGTGCGGCAGCTTCATCCTATCACACGCGTTTAGTTCGATCTCGTAGATAAGAGGAATACAATGTGCCGATGATATTGTTCACCAATCGCGATTATTATGTTTAGTGCGTTTAAGAGGCATTCATGCCAGGGTGGACACGTGGATCAAAGCACTGAACCAGCACCACCGAGTTCTGGGTTCGAATTCAAGTTTCAGCCACCAGGTTCTCAAGAGTAAAAATAACTCGATGTTCTCAATCCGGCCATGAATCACTGCACGAAAAAAAAACGCTTTACATTGTGTTTGTCAGTTTATTCAGATTAACCCCCGCTGAAAATTGAGATTTTCAGTTTGCTCTGGCTATCAAGAGATATAATGGCTAGAATTGGTGACAGCCGATGGACAAGACGGGCAATGGAATGGCAGCTTAAGGAGAGGACGCGCCCAATAGGATGACTACAACGGAGATTGAGCAGAGAGATCACCCAATGCAAAGACATGAAACGGATTGTGCCGCCTCGCAGAACCACCAAGGTTGGCGACGCCCTTCATTCCATCAGTGGCTAGACAATGATCGACGACGATGATAATCTTGATGTGAAGCTTTCGTGACTGCAGGAGTCCATACTCTTTGGTTCTTTCGGTAAAGTCACGTGGGTAGAAATAAAACAAAATAAATCACGACGTTTCGAACGCAACACAAGCGCCCGTCTTCAGGTCAAAATCGCGATAGCCGCGATGTCTGCTGCGAGCTTGTGGTCGCGGCATCTCTTCACAAAGATGCCACGACCACAAGCTTCACTTCACAAGGCAGCAGACATCGTGCTGCTCGCAGCAGACATCGCTGCTATCGCGATTTTCACCTGAAGACGGGCGCTTGTGCTGCGTTCGAAACGTCGTGATCTATTTGATTTAATTTCTATCTACGTGACTTTACCGAAAAAACCAAAGTGATGACGATGATGACGAGGATGGCTTGGGGAAATCTTCACCTAGCAACGGTACCGTACAATGTCCTGGGAAGACTCACAAATTTCCCCAGGATGGATGTCTGCCTCAAACGGAGCACGATCCCCGGGAGATCCAGGATCTGCGGGTGACTCCACTACCCACTGGTGTGCCCCGACCCCGACCCGGCGCTCGGCACCTGGAGCAGCAGCCTCTTGGTGTTGCTGGGCACGTCCCTGGGGAAGTCCGTCAGCCCCTTTCTGGAGCAGTCGACCGTCGAGTCTCTGTAGCATATGCAGCCCGCGGGGCAGGCGGCCGCGCCGTGAAGCAAGGCGAACGCGCACCACAGCGCCAGCGCCGGCATCGTCCCTGGCTATGGGGAGCGCGAAGAATAAGCATAACCCATAAAAACAAAGTTTTTCACTATAAATCCTTTATATGCGTGGCGGCTAGAGTCCTCTCGTCCTCTGGCTTGAGATGGCTGCCACCTATGAGTCAGATGATTGCATTGCACCATTAAGCAATTGGTAATTAAATATAATATTTTTGTCCTAAAAAGTGTAAACATTTTGGAGAAAAATTTTTTCACGAACATTAATTGTCACGCACAACGAGTTTGTGTGGAAAATGTCAGCTCGATTGGATCACGGGAAGTGGGTTAAAAAACGACCGAAAGATTTGCACGGTCGTAAGCAAGCAAGCAAGTGAACTTAATATAAAGGATTTAAATAAGGCCCCGACGGCGACATTAGTGTGATGGTGTCGCGTCGCCGTCCGTGCCGAGCGCTTCTCTCGCGGTCGCTGAGGAACCGCAGGCGAGCAGGAAGACGTCGGCCGTGCGGTGAGCCGGCGCTACCAGCGATTTCCCTTTCTCTGTTGTCTTCCGCATATTAAGATGTTTTTTTAGCTAATTAATGAGTGTTTTTACTCGTGGGAGGAAACTGGAGCACCCGGAGACAACCCACGCGCGTGAGGGGGAAACGCTCTATCCCACACAGGAAGGAGAGATGAGATGAGTTCACACTTTGCTGTGCCGCTGTCTCTTGGCAGAGCAAGGGTTGTGGTACCTTGACGCCCATGGGAAGGGAGTTTTGCGACATTTGTGCGATCCACCAACGATCACAACCGCCACCTCCCGGCTTATTACACAGTTCCTGAGCACGGGTCCAAAGGCCCAAAACATCAAGCGGCCAGCATCAAACGTCACTCTCTGAGTTGTTATCGTTACGAGTTAAACCACGCATCTCTTGAATTGAACGAGGTTATATAAGAAAGTGTTTGGGAAGGGAAGAGAAGTGACGAAGGTTGGTTCGTGGAGTGCTCTTGTTTAAACCGAAGTTGATCATCAAAGCAAGATACAACTGTGCGTGAAGGCGGCACCCTCGGTGGCGGTGCGTTATCCGCTACGACACGGATCGGGAAAACGCGCACACTGACAATACATGTGAGCATGTGTGTTGAACTTATTTTCGCACCGTACGTAGCCAACCACGCTGATGCGAGTTGCGGGGAAGGGACAACTGAACACGAAAGGCAGTTTCATGGGACCTCCTTTGCCAGTATCAAAATATGAGAATAAGTATTCCCCTTTTTTCTGGCAACAAAACAGGTGTTAAGATGTTAGAACACCAAACTGAAACATTTTGGGGTGGGTGTGTGGTATGCTGGAGAAAAAAACTGTGGTCAATGCAGACATGATTCCTTGCAAAAGGTTTCAGTTTGGTGTTTTAACATCTTAACACCAGTTTTGTTACCAGAAAAAAGGGTAAAACCTATTCTCACGAAAGGCAGTTCTAAATAAATTTGTTTTCAATCGAGATGATGTTAAAGTGCGAAGATCCAATGGCTTCCTAATATCGGAAAGGAGAGCGTTCCAGACGGCTGCAGAAGCGCGTCTGAAAGCACACGATGCAACGACCGTCTTTATTCGATGGCCAGTCAAAAGATACTGCTGCTGCGAGGATGCGTGGAGTTCGCGTGATGATTTACGCTCCCTGATGAGATCAGCCGCGATATTGTGGTTCATTTGTGGCAAGCAACGTGCAACAAAACGCTGACCAAGTGCACGGTGAAGCGGTAGTGAGATGCACGACGCATTGAATTGCATCGAGAGAAAGAGGAACTCCATGGAATTGGAAAGCACACGCAGAAATACAGACACCAGCTGGGTTGTCGAGAAAACCAAGTGGGCTCGGGCAGGCCGTGTCATGGCTAGAATTGGGACGATGGCCGTTGGAGAAGACTGATGATGGAATGGCAGCTGAAGGCGAGGACCCAAACACGAGGATGACTACCGTGGAGATGGAGCGTTGATAATCACTTAGAGCGCAGCAGTGCGATGGATTGTGGCATCGCAGCACGGGGAGGACTTTGTCCAGCAGTGGATAGACGGAAGACTGATGATGCTGTTGAACATCTATATTAAATACCCTGCAGAGACAAGATAACTCCCCCTGTTACTACGCCTGATCTCGTCATATCTCAGAAGCTAAGCGGGGTTGAACCTGGATTGTGCTGAGATGGGCGACCACCCTGCACAAACGGGCTGTCACAGGACGGGAGCCCGACTCTGTGTGTGCAACAGAGGGGAGTTGCAGCAAAATAAATAATTGTACTGAAATTCTAGAATTCAAGGCTCCCGCGCCGAGATGCTCTTCGTACTCGCCAATCCGAAATGACCACCGTGGTGACAGGAAGGACAAATATCCCACACAACCCGCACGGCGTGGGGAGGCCGTCATCCAGCAGTGGATTGCCACGAGGCTGGCTGTACGTGTACACACAGAAGTGATGTGCAGAAGAACCGCGGGTCTCTGTCATTTTTCACACACACCGCACAACCGACCTACCTCCTTCCGGAATCCCCTTGAGTGTTTTACTCGCGAGATTTCGCGCGCAGACCTTGCAGCGATGGGAACAAAATGAGAAATGGAAATGGAATAAAACGAGACGCGCGCGCGTGCTCGCTGCTCGCTCGGCTCGGCTCGATGACTAACGCATGAAAAAATAAATGTCCGGCGCAAATTTTCTGCCAACGAGTGGCATTTATTTTTTGCGCAAAGTGCGCCCACAAATGTCTCTTGATTGGGCACTCGGAAAGGGGAACTGCTGGCCCTGTGGGTGGGTGGGTGTGGGGGGGTTACTCGCTCCCACGTAGACCAAGCTGCCGCTTAAGCCATGCGTGACCCGTGATGGATGTGTGTGCACTGATAGCGGATTCCGTTAGCCTGAAAGCCACCACATTTCAGGAGGGCTCAACGCTAAACTGGGAGGGGGGCTGGCTGGCCGATCCCTCCCCTCCGTCGACCCCAACAACAACAATAACAACAATCGCCATTCGCCAATAAGTGTCGGTGACGTCCCCACGGCGCTTGTGCCAGGCCATGTGCACGTTCAGGCCACGTGAATTGTCGAACGCCCGCTGACAGAAGGTCACGGGACAGACCCAGCAGGTTGCCAAGGGTTGACTGACTGAGATGACTGTCCGATGCACCACCTGTGGCCCCCTACTGTGCCAACTTGCTGTGCTTTATTCGCCCGGCGCTCCGCTCGTTGTTGTGAGCGTTGCTCCACTGCCCCTCCATCATGCCCCGCCCACTTTTAACACAGCCACACCCACTCCATCGATAGACCCCGCCTACTCCCATGATCACCAGAATCATATTTATTCATACTGGAAGGAAAATCCGATAATCTGTAAAGCTATTTTTCACATATGTCAAACACAAACAAATTCAACACTGAACCATCCCCATCCTACCAGACAAAGCCCACCGAGGTATTAACCCAGACCACTGCTCGCGTGGTTTCTTGACCTTTGCCTGAATCTTCAGTGGAAAATAACTTGAATTAATATACCGGTCTTAGTTTTGAATGCCGTTAATTGACTTGCTTTAATATAGATATCTATTTTCAAGGAAATGGCCCCAATATTTCAAGCAGATTCTTCATAGGGAGGGGGCGAAAGAGTCATCGAGGCTTTTTTCGAATAAAAAAATGTTTAAATTATATTTTATTTCGTAATTCGCATGTGCTGCTACTGATGTACACATTTTATACGCATAAATATAAAGAATAATGGGGCAATGCAGATAACATTGCCAGTGAATAAATGGCTGCCACCAGAATTGCCGCATCTGTACCTTCGTGTGTGTGTCTGTGTACGTGATTGTGTATGCATCTGTGCGTGCCTGCAGTGTGTGCGCGTGGTGAGTGGAGAGCAGTAGCATCGCGGTTAGCGCGCTGCACTAAGAACTCGGCGACCCGAGTTCGATTCTCGCTCACGGACCAACACCTAGTGACAATTATCTGAATCGGTCCCAGGCCTCCCCTAGGTCAACTCAGCCTTAATTATGTACCTGGTGCTGTGCGTAAACATCGCCACTGGAGAGACAAACGCGATCGGGCGTGGTGCTGTGTCACCCACCCGCTCGTGTGCCGTTCCGACATTCATAGGTGCTACTCGCTAACAGCACTTGTTCCAATGGATGTTAAGGCTATACGGGGGGTCTTTGTCTTTGTAGCGTTGAACGCACTGGCCACCTGGGTTCGATTCCCGGCCACGACTGACGCCTGTGGTGAGTGACAGCTGAAGCGGTGCCGGGCCTCTTCACCTTGGGGCGATTGGTAAAGATCAGCAGTGGGAAGACAAAGGTTGCTAGGCGTGTTTCTGACCATGCCACCACTACACGTGCCATGTGTGCCTTAATAGGTCCTCGCTGACAGCACTTGCCCAAACGGTCTGTTAAGGCTATACGGGGGATATTTGTCTCTGTGCACATATGCACATTCAGTGCATATTTAAATGTGTATCTCTGTTATAAACATCTCTGTGTGGTCCTTTGTGTGTTTGTGTATCATACCTGTGTATGTGTTTATATTAATTACTCAAATGAAAGCAATATATTTTCATAGAATAGAATTCTTGCAAGAGATAAACATTATCAATCGTCATTACATGGTATTACACAAATAGCTCAAGCATAGCATATGCAAGGTAAAACAACGACCGTTACAATAAAGCAATTACATTCATATTTGTTCCACATATATATAGCGTCAGTGGTATCTGCCTCTTTACTCCATATTCATAAATTAAGACATTTTTCATGCTGGCCCAAAAGTGGGGTCTAAACGGGTAGGGCACGGACTCGAGAGAGACCGGCAAACTTCACGTGGAGCTGAACGGATTTGCCCATGAAGTGGTAAGTGAGTGTTTAAGGCAGTCAGTCGCTTGCTTCTCCATTAGCCGAGGGCGGAGGAGCGACGCTTGCAACGGCGAGTGGCAACAAAGGCCGGCCAGAATACGCAGCAAATCGCCACGGTGGCAGTGCCGGACTAAGCTAGTGCGAGGCCTGTAGCATATGAACTGAACTGATATGTCATAAAGAGGCCCGAAATAAAAAAAAATACGTAAATATCGAAACACAATTGTTTTACTTGCATAGTAAAGTAATTGCATTTTTCATTTGCTATACAGCCAAATAGTACGACAAATCGCTATCCTTAAACACCCAGTCGTTCATCAACGTTGAAGGCAGTGTGGTACTATAGTAATAGAGCAAGTGCAGAATCACTGAACCGGAATTGATAGCTTGAAAGCATTTAGCGTGGGGCCCTTGAAAGTGCGGGTCCCGTAGCATGTGTATCTACTTTTGCTGCTAGGATCATCCGGCAATGCACGTTGGGCTCCTCACGTGGTGCAATTCTCTGCCAGTCACCTCGGTTAAACCCCCTCCACACCTCCCGCCAGCGAGCCTTCGACACTTCACGTGGCCTCACCGTGCACCTAGCCGGACACAAGCACTCGGGTTCATGTGACCGCCAATTCGTGGCACGTGACAGCTGCTGTCAATGGTGTTTTCGTAGTTGTTTCCGCTATTGTTGCTGCTTCTGCTGCTGTTGTTGTTTCCGTTGTTGTCGTGCCTCGTGCGTGAAGCAATGACCACGGACAAAACGCAGAGCAAAAAGTGCCGGGAGAGCCGTGGAGTGCTGCGGGCATATTGCGTCGGGACACGCTGACGGCATGCGGGGCAACCCATTGTCGACTGACAGCCACGCGCACCCCCATCCGCGTAAATCCGGCATCGAAACCATCTCTGCGGCTTCATCTCTCTGCCCGTAGATTTGTTGTTATTTTGTTTATCACTTTTACCTTTTGTCTTATCCCCCCCAATTGAATTCCAATTGTGCTGTCAAATGCCATGGTCACGAGACGGAATGTAGAATCAGAACACTCACCAGGGCGGTGTTTCACTTCGTGTTTATCCTTCGCGGAACACTAATCACTTAGTAAAACACTAATCACTTAGTAAAACACTAATCCAGGGGGTGGGCAACCTACGGCTCCGGAGCCGCATGCGGCTCTTTGACGACTGCTTCGTGACTCGTTATTTATTCAGGGACGTCTCGTATTCACCACACAGTGAAATATTTAGGTTTTCTTTTTACGAATTCGACAAAAATTACCCTTCTGGTTATGTTTGATTTCCGACCGGGTCCTCCGGTTTTCGCTCCACGTTTAGAAACATTCGTTTAGACTATTTAAATTATTGCGCCGCTTTAAACGTCCAAATGGTAAGCCACTTTGTTGGGCTATCAATTGTGGCCAGGCCGCTTTTCAAAAATAAGTCAAGACCTGCATGGGCTTTGTCTGGTAGGATGGGGATGGTTCAGTGTTGTATTTGTTTTTGTTTGGGAAATGTGTTTACCTTTCTTGTACTTTGCACTCCTATCCTACCTTTGTGTTGTTGGGTGTTGGAACGTTCTTACCCGCCCTCCTGGACAGTTTTGAAAAAGAGCTTTACGGCTCATCGGATTTCTCCAGTATAAATAAATATTCGGAGTCCAATCCATGGCCGTCCACATTATCTGGCCGTCCTCCTCAACACAGATGTTGCCCCTCAGCTCGCTCGCTGTCCCACGACTCCAAGACGCTCCTGGCAGAAGCGCCGTCTCTCCCTGGCTGCTCCATCGCATCCCCTATACAACGTACGCAGCAGCAGCAGCCTCCGATCCAGTGCCGTGTTTATGTGGGGCCCATAAGGAACCCTGTGAGAGCCGGAGCTCTGTGTAGCCTCGATGAGTCGCGACTGGAAATTGACCTTCCTTCTCGTGAAAACGTGCGCCTTATAAATATATATATATTTTTTACTCGTATTATTAAAGAATGGCCCGCACGAGCAGATATCATAGAAATGCTTTTGCGAACCCTTCGAGTTACTTGTTTTAGCCACCTGTTCCAACACGTTCAGCTCCAGAGAAATCTGCAACACACGGCATTCAAACTGATCTATATATACATCCTGTATAGTTATTTTTTTTGCTGGAGTTTAGCCAATTAAGCAAACAACTACATTTAATGCGATCGTGGTGGGGGGTGTAATCATTTTTTAAACGTTCGTGCATTATAAAAATAGCTTAATCACATCAAATGTGCACGTTTGTTGTGTTTAATCACAGTAATGAAAAGTAGCGTGCCGTTATGTCCGAAAACTATCGTTTGCAATCAGTGCACCATGCCAGATATGACACGCGGTTCCCAGAAAAAACAACGGACGATGGCAAAGAAAACTGAAACAAGAGCTGAAGAGTGCGCAGAGAGACGGCACGGCGAGGTGAACGCGTGGAATTTCGCCGAGAGACGAGACGGAACGCTGATGCGTAGAGGAGCAAATGGGAATTCGAGACATCGTATTATTGACTGTGGAGGAAAGTAAGTTTGCTTGGACGAGACAATGGATGAGACTGGAGACGGAACTGCGTCCAATGTCTAAGAAGACGCACCCAAGAGGCCCACCGACACGGAGATGGAGTGACGAGTGATCAGAAGCTGCTGCAGGAGTGAAATGGATGTCGGCATCACAGGGGTGACGACAACGAACTACTTTGATTCAGCAGTGGATAGACACTGACTGATGACGATCTTCGTGTTTACATTTTAAAACGTGTATGTTTAGATTATTTTTTCGGAAGATGTATGATTTAATGGTGGCGTACATCAGGGCGTTTCTAAGCCACTCATTCACTCACTCGGGCTAATCCCGTGATGTGTTTCAGCCTTTCAATCAGAATCACGAGAAGTCACCATCATCTGTATGTGGTTCAGGTCAGGATTGTTTCTTTAGAACTGCTGTTTGTGTTTAGTTTGTTGTCCTTCCCCCGCACCTGCGATTATGACGATTGGCTACGTACGGTGTGAAAGAAATTCAACATATTTACAGTTTCTCCTTCTCGGTCGGGCGATTCCTTGGGAAGCGCATCTGTAACTCCATTGTAACATTTTAACGATCCCATGGGACGATCCCAAACGGTGAATATACTTGAGCGCATGTCAAGACTTCCAGCGGAGCCCAAAGGGAACATTCGCCCACGTTGCACCCCAATGGACTTTCTCTCTCTCTCTCTGCCGGTTTAAATAAAAGGCTTAATTGACCAATTGACCTAGAGAAAATCTGTCGAATGTCTTCAAACAGTGAGCCACACCTGACCCGGTCACACGTTTTAAAAACGTATAACTTTCGATGTGACCGGATGGCCGACAGGTGAGAGTTGTGAGTTGTAACCGCAGTGATCCTGCATACGATTCTAGGCACCTACCTGTGATTAAATCTGGTTCTCAAAGTTACCCTGAAACCGGCCCTCAAGCTTAACCTTGAACCTACGTACATTTGGTCTGACCCATGAACCCACCAACAAGACTGTGGCTGACCTTCAATCCGTCTCTCACGCTCACTGAACGTATCTCTGGCCGACCCTTGAACCAACGAACAAACCCTCAAACGAACCCTTGTATAGTTAATACTATATAATAAATAATCGTATAGTGTACGTCACAATATAATTATAAATACAATTGATGATCTTTGTCTGGTTTCTAATGACAACAACAGAAAACGCATTCAATTCGGTTGTCCACTTAATTCGGCTACAACTCTCCAGAATGTAAAAGTATCGGTCTGACCGGTGCACGATGAGCATTAGTCCCGGCGGTAGCGTGGCCCGAAAACTACCGGCACCTAAGCCACTTGAAGACATCTCAAGAGGTCGCCGCTCTGTGACGTGCGTTGCGTTGCCAAACAACAGACGCGCGGCGCGACCCGAAGACGCAGCGGAGGGCCCACACGGCGCGACCACGAAAAACTACGAAAACCGACTGCGGGACGCGGGATTCTTCCACAAGCCCCCAAAGAGCTTCCGCGAGTTAATTATTCACGTGGCGCACGTTTGCCACGGAGCAGGGCGGCAGTGGCAGCGCCAGCGGCTGCGCCTGCAGCTGCAAGGACAAAGAGTTTCTATCAAATATTGATCACGGCGCCGCCGCCGGCAACTACTGCCACGGGGAAAATTAGGCACTCGGTGAAATTGAAATGCAGACGCAATGTTTTATTCATGCGGGGCATCGCGGCCGCTTGTGCGGAGGATTCGGGGCGGAGCGGTGCCGGAGTTGAGGCGTGTTGTTTACGGAAGGGGCGTGCGGTTTTTTTTTACGGGGTGAATTTTTGTTACCGTTGTCGCAATAGTTGTTTTACCCCGTTGCTGATGTGATCGGATCTCTGGCAAGCGCAGTGCGACGGTTGCCGTGCTCGGATATCACAGAGCCACCTTTGAGGTGCCCTAGGATTACCTCTAATCCACGGAGCATTTGTTCAGATTTGTAGCAGAGCAACTCAGCCCTTCCGATTGGAAATAGCCCACGGAAGCGGATATCACAGAGCTCCCTCTGAGGTGCTATTAAGTGGCCTCTGGCCAGCACAGAAGGGAGCAAAACTTCCCCACCTACTCTGCCCTTGACAGTAATGCTTGTGATATGACAGTTCAACCATTTTGTTTTATTGCAGAACTAGAATTTCGCCAAATTATGCACAGAACCAATATTAATGTAAAGAAAAAGTGCAATTATTGGTGGCCGGGCTGAGACCATCAACTCCCTACACTTAAGAACCCGGTTTATTCACAGGCATCTGATACCTGGCTTTGGACTCATCGCTCTCAACCCTGAGCCACTCGGCATGCCTCTGACGACGCACGCTTCAGGAAACGAACCGGCCACTCTCCCTCAGCGGTGACAAAGGGTCCTTGCCACTTTGATAGGTACGAGTCTCCTCAGCCAGTGGCGCAGCAATGGTTGGCATGGGTCCTGTGGTGTGAGAAATGAAAATTGGGGGCCCTGCCCTGTCATCCAATTCGTCCCACCCTTCTTCGTAGCCTTGGTGGATTTGACCCCTCCGGCCAGCGGAGCCGGGTGCAATTGCAAAGCCTGCACACCCGCAAGTGACACCACCAGTCTCAGCACGATCTCGCGATGGCTGTGGACGAGGGTTGGCAGTGGACGTCGATCGGCATGCCCGTGAGAAGGTCACGTGACTGCAGCTCGAGCCCGAACCGGTTCAGAATCTCCAGTGCCTGATTGGGACCTGGGAAAGAAAAACCAACCACGTAAATCGGATACGTAATTCAAGGGAATCATCATCGTCACGATCAGCTATTAATCTACACACTGCTGGATGAAGGCCTTTTTCATTTCTATCTCTCATGATCTAGCTCCTGCACACAAGCCAAGTCATTGTTCCATCTCCAGAGTGGTGGTTCTAAGAATTATTTTTACTTGGATAGGGCCCCATTGGTTACAGGGAGTGCACTCACCTATAATATCTGGCGAACCAGCAGTAAAATTGTCATTGTTTAACGAGACCGACTCAGGTGTTGAATCCCAGATGGTCGAAACCCATCCAGTGTTTGTTTGCTTAAACAAATGCTGACGATCAACAAAGAATACCAATAGGACGATGCACTGATATTGATGTCACTATTTTGTAGAGATATAGAATGAAAGTGAGGTTACATATTTCTTTTTTTTTGCATGACAGATCAGCTAGACTCGGTGGAACAGTGACCAGACCCAGGAGCAAAATGGAATGTGCCGTAACGCAGAAGGTTTTCTGAGCTTATTTTTACGTTTGCAATGAAGAAACGAATTTTTCACCTGCAGTGTCACTCCTCCTTTAAAATGTACATCAACGCATGAACACGACCAACTCATAGAAAGTAGCTTTGAGAGGCTGCGGGGGTAATTCATGTAACGCCACTGTGTAGGTTCAAGTGGTCGTGCCATGCGTGTCGTTGGATACGATGTCCAACATGTCGCCTCGCGTGCCGACAGCTTCATTTCAGTTCTGGAAGACGCTCCCAGCATATAACGTTGTCGCGTGTAATCAACTGAACTCCGAAATCTTTTCCTGAAGAAGCGTTTTGAGCAAAGCGTCAGACATCATGCCGAACACGTAGCATAAAAATAAAACGCATCAGAAAGAGCTATGAATCCATTTTCTTATTCAAACTGATTGTACGTTACATTTCTGGTGAGATGGCCAGATCCCTATAAAGTAGTTAGCGTTGACTTAGCAATTTGTCCGTCAAATATTTTCATGGGTTGACTTTCCACCAAACGTACTTCCTCGCCGCATTTGGCTTTATTTCTTCAGGAAGTGGTAAACACCCTGTGAATACATTAACTTCTGCTCAAAACAGCATTCGGTTGCGACCGAGAAATGGGCAACGTGGACGAGAAGCCTGCGTTGCTCTGCTCTGCCTCGCGGCACCAAAACGACTCCTCCACGCAGCGAGCGAGCGCTCATCATCGTACGCAACGATGAGCGCTGAAAAAATTAAAAATTTGACAGCTGAGCTGAAGAAGTTTGCACAGCTGAGCTTTGCGGAGTTCTTCATTTTCAAATAAATGTAAGACTCATTAATGACGCTTCGCCGCGTAATATATAATGCCAGGTAGACGCGCGGGCTGTCGTGAGCCTTCAAAATAGGCCCGGCGTTTTGCCGAGTGCGACTTTTTTTCGTCTTTTTTTTTTACCGTGCAGCTGTCAACGTGTTTTTGGGCTGATTCACCAAAAGTCAAAACTTCAGACTTTTAGAGCAGAGCCACGTCCAAGTGTGCCCTGGTAAAACAGGGCAATCATCTGAGAGCTTAATTCATGAAGAACATTGGAGTGAGCAAGGGCAAAGGCACCTGAACGCATATAAGCACAACTAGTTGAGTCGTTATTAATACAGCTCTTTGCCAATGTACCGGTGGATGAAGTCCTCCTCACACCACGTCTGTTTAGGGGGACGGTTTGACCATACTTCACCACGCTGGGCAGTGCGGGTTGATGAAGTTGCGGGGGCAGGATCGGTTCACGTGCCACTCGCAACTGATGTTATCCGTGGCCAAGAATTGAACGCAAGTCGCGTTCAACGCAAGTCAGTGAATGAAAGGAGGAAAAGAGAGAAAGTTTGAAAGGCCTTTGCCGAGCAGCAGAAAGTTACAGGATCACTACAACAACAAAGGCAGGGGTTAAGGTGAGTATAAGGTGGATAGGTCATGGGGTCAGAGGTTACCCCACCTTGCTGAGAGTCTTTGCAGGAGTCCAGACAATCCAGCAGGGTCCGCCCGAGTACTCGGTTTGAAATATTCTGTGCACGGCGAAAAGAAACGAAGCAAATGATTTCCAACCAAAATAGACATCTTCCTCTGGACAAGTTAGGCGTTTGCATGTTTTGCTTTGCAGGAGCGTGTATCTCTCATATCAACCGTAGTAGCGGCAGCATTTTGTTGTAACCTGTCGGGTCGTGCAAAAGCCATCATTTCCCCAGAAGTTTTTCTGGTCAACCCTCGCTTCGAAATTTGCCCAAGTCACCCGTAGGCAACATTATAATTGCACGTTGCAAACCTTTCGGGATATGTTAACAAAGCCGCCCTTCAGATTTAAGCAAAACGACAAAATAAAGCACGTGGAGTGCGACAAATGGAGATTTGTCCTCGACAAGAGAGGAGGCGACTGTGGATCGCTCTTCTCTCTCTAGCGACGTTCTCGTTTTGAGGTCGCGTCGAGGGCCCAGCGGCGAATATCTTCTGAGTCCGGCGATCCGTTTTCGCGACTAAAGTCGCAATAACGGCCACATACCGACACCCCCCCCCCCCGCCCGTTCGCAAAAAAAAACCATGAAATAGAGAAGCACCAGCCGTGCGGTCGCCCGCCCCCCCACCCAGCCCCCGCCTCACCCGAGATCGCAGCTGGCGCAGCAGCGTCACGACGTCGACGAGCGTCTCCTCCACCAGCGAGAGCCGCACCCTCTCCGCCTCCACCAGCTGCAGCTCGGCGAGCAGCCTCTCCGCGCTCTCGCGGGACGACGACGCTGGTGCCGCCGGTGCCGCCGGTGCCGCCGCCGCGCGGCTCTCGTCCCCGTGCCACGCGGGAGACTCCTCGGCCACGCTCGTCCCCTCGCGATCGCTCGCCTCCCGAGCCAGATCCTGAGAGGGACGGAGGGGAGAACGCGAGCACAGTCAACAGGGGGCACTTGCCACCTGTCCTGGCTTTCCCAAGGGCGCCCTCTTGTTAAAATAAGATGTTCTGGGAAATCTCGAGGGCTTCCTGGGACATTTTAAGTCCTGAATTTTTTGTTGTTATCAGTGGCGTAAAAAGACTTGATGTCAGAGGTAGCAGCCCTAGTCACAAGACCCAGAGGTCGGCAGCAGTGCCGGATGATCCTAGTAGCAAAGGTAGCTACATCTGTAGCTACGGGCCCCGCACTTTCAAGGGTCCCGCGCTAAATGCTTTCATGCTATCAATTCTGGTGAAGTGATTCTGCACTTGAACCTCATGGCGGTACCCCGGGGTGCCATAGGACCCCGGCTCTCACATAATATCCGCGATGCAGTCACTTTTAGTCTGTTGATGGTCGGCGATGCGGCAATCGACTCATCTCGACGAGCTGTACACGATGCACTATTCAGAGTTGAAATTTTCAATAACGAATTTTTTATGCTAAATTTCGGCGTTTCGACATCGCGGAGTAGCACTGATGTCGGATTGATTGGTACCCCAGTCGCGGAGTTAAGTTCACCCCTGGAAAAAAGAATTGCGTCCCAGAAATAAAATATTTAATTGCCTTGGCTATTTTGTATTATTTTGTACCCCGGGGTACCGCCATAAAGATCACTTGCTCTAATACTATAGTACTGTACGGCCTTCAACTTTTATGAACGACTGGGTGTTTAAGGTTAGTGATATGTCGTATTTTCCGGCTGTATAGCAAATGAAAAAATACAATTACTTTACTATGCAATAAAAAAATTGGTTGAAAAAATGGGTTGAAATTATTTTGCACGTCGTACAATTTCAATAGATTCTCTCATGAGTCTTGATAGTCATTGTTTTGCATAGAACATCAACGGTATCAAACTCCCAGCAAATGTCCTCGGTTGGCAGGCACGTTCCGCAACTGCCGATATGTGCGTGATCATTCGACGTTGCTTTGGTGCTGTAGGGCAAGGTGTAGACTTATATCATCTGTCCCTTCTGTGGGGGATACGGTGTAGGCCCCTCGCGTGCGTGGGGGTTTCTATGGATGCTCTGGTTTCCACCGACATGTATAATGAACGCTCACGATTTGTCAGAAAACATCTTCATATGTAGAGAACTGCAGAGCAACTGTTGGCGCCGGCTCACTGCCTGGCAGCCTTCCAGCTTCGTCTGTGGTTCCTACTCAGCGATTGTGAGATAAATGACGACGCTGTATGAAACTAATCATTAGATGTTGTACATTTTTTTCCTTCTATCTTGATTTAAAGCTTTCGTGACTGCAGGAACCTGATGACGACCGCTTGTGTTGCGGTCGAAACGTCGTGATTTGTTTTATTTTATTTCTAACAACTGAAAGAACCAATGATTATGTTTTTCCTTCTTTTCAGCAAAGAGGTCTGCAACTACGAACATTGCCACGTAAGCATGTGGGAAGAAATGTGAAGATGGCGAGACAAGTCGTCATCGGGGTACACGTCGAGTTACCAAGGGAGGTGGCTGTGAAGATTAGCGAGGGAGCACACGAAATCACTTCACCCCCACTGCTCAAGTAGCTGGGAAGGCAAATTGCCCTCTGCCACGGTGGCGATATGTTAACTACTTCGCCTGGTATACAGGAAGACGTGGGTTCAATCCCGACCCTGACGCCTGTATATTTAGAATTTGCGTGTTCTCCCCGTGGTCGCGTGGATTTTTCTCCAAGTCCTCTGGTTTTTTTCCTCCACATTTAGAATCAACATCACATGTTTAGAGTATTTGGCTGCTTTACATTTCCACGTGATAAGCCACTTCGTCGAGCGATAATTTGTGGCAAGGTCACTTCTGAAAAAGAGCTGCATAGCTCAGTGAGCCTTACCTGTGAAAATAAAACGTACTGTTAAGTTTAGTTTAAGCCGGTCAATATATTTTCGCACGTACGACAACACAGACACACGCAATATATAAAACCAGGCTCCAGATGACACTGAATGAATCTCGAGACCCAGTGGTGAGCAACAACGCGCCGACCTTGGCAACTGGGCGCAAATGGAGGCCAGGAAAAGCAGTCCAGGAGGCAACAGCAGCCCTCAGACATGCTGACATTGTGGGTCATGTTCAGCAAGGGAGAGGAGGCTTTGGACTAACTAGCCGTGCTGCTTGGAGTAAGGCCACTGCACCAGAGCGGCGGAAGATGGTAGTGCAGGAAGTACGCCATCAGGAGGAGGCTGCAAGGTGGGCCAAGGCAGTCTCTCTTGCCAAACAGGGACAGTGGACTCGATGGGACAGTGTGGAGAAGAGGAAGATCAGCTGGAAGGATCTGTGGGCCATGGAAGCGAGGCGGTTGAGCTTTTCCATCAGAGCAACATATGACGTCCTTCCAACACCAGTTAATCTTCACCAATGGTATGGTGAAGATCCGGACTGTGCCCTCTGTTCCATGCCAGCCAACCTCAGGCACATTCTCACAGGGTGTAAAACAAGCCTCACCCAAGGACGCTACACTTGGCGTCACAACCAAACCTTGCATCCGCCCTGGAGGACAAGCGAACTGCCACCAACTCCCTACCACCCCCAGCAGCATCACACCCCTTACGGACGACCTTTGTCCGCGAAGGGGCTAAACCACCAAAGAGCGGCTTTACACCAATAGAGCGAGACCAGCTGCGCTTGGCCCGCGACTGGAAAATGCTAGCTGACATTGGCCGGCAACTTGTGTTTCCTCCGGAGATCGTAACCACCACCCTAAGACCTGACATGGTGCTCTGGTCCCGTTCGCTCAAGAAGGTCTTCATCATTGAGCTCACAGTACCCTGGGAAGACTCAGTAGATGAGGCTTATGAGCAAAAACATCTGCGCTATGCCGATCTAGCTGCCGAAGCACGGCATCATGGCTGGAACACAGAAGTCCGACCAGTGGAGGTGGGCTGCAGAGGTTTTGTGGCAACATCTACAACCAGACTGCTTAGAGACCTGGGAATTAAGGGCCAGAGCCAGCGTTCGGCAATCAGAGCTGTATCGGAGGCGGCAGAAGGCAGCAGTCAGTGGCTCTGGATGAAGAGGAAAGACCCCAGCTGGGCCCCAAAGTGAGAGGGCCAGGAGGTATGCAGTCAACAATGCTTGACTCAGGGAGGAGGACGCCCCTGCCATGCATAGTCCCATGGGATGTTGGCTACCAACAACAAGGCAACTCCTATGACTAATTGGGAATGGGACGCAAGCGTAGGATTGATCACCCTGTCGCTGGCCGCCTTTGGGGAGGGTGTATAGTATGAAAGGCCGAAACACCCTAGGACCCAAAGGTTCACTACTGACGATGCGCTCCCCAAATTTCACCAGGCTCACTGTTCATGAACTCTTGGAAGTGCTTGCACAAAGGATAATAACATCTCATCCTGTGTTCTTTGGACTCTGAAAACGTCCATGCGGTTACGAATTATGTTGAAAATGAAGGGACTTGTCGAAAGGAAAACCCTTATATCATGGTGGGTTTCCGAGTTGCTTTAACTGCTGAAAAAAATCACTGTGGCTTTTTCGCGTACTAAAAAAAATAATTGGAAAACATTACTTAAGATAGTAGAAGAAATTACACTTATCTCACTCAAGAGCAGACACATATTACATTTGCTTGATGTGTAATTCATTAGAGAATGCAGTAAATGAGAAGCGGGAAGAAATATATATTTTTAACAAGGTATTAAAGTGGAGTAATTGAATATGTTCAATTATCAACACTTACTGACGACAGTTACATAAATTGTTGGCTTAAGATTCAGGCACTTCGATAATTAGAATTGGCAAGAGTGCTCGTTGAAATTTTTTTTATTATCAAACGTTTTAGAAGTGTCTTCTTGGTTCTTTCGGTAAAGTCACGTAGAAGGGAAATAATAAAATAAAAATAAAACATTAAAAAACTCTCACAAAAGTTTTAGAAGTGATTGAAACGTTGGCATTATGCAACGCGTTCTATCCTGCATCTGACAGGCACAACTAAAAATAACGATGTTTAAATATCGTGACGCCGTAAAAAAGAATCTTCCGCATCGCCACTTAAAAAAACCACCGGCCTGGAAATCGAAACGACCTCATCACCGAGGAGTTGTCCCGAACCGTTCAAACAAGACGCCAAGTCGAGTATTAAATACCGGACACTAAACCACAACGTCGCTTTGTCTGTCACTAAATTCTACAACGCATAGCAACATCTTGATGGATTAAGGTGCCCGAGGTTATGACCCAATCGCGTGGAATAAATCTGGTCGGATCTCATCAGACCTGGGAAGCTAAGCTAAGCTGGGGCTGAGCACTGACGGTGCTGGGATGGGCAATCAACATGCACCACAAACTGGTTGTCGTGGGGCTTTGGGGATTCCTTGCGGGCAGCAGAGAGCAGTGCATCAAAATCCACTGTTAAACTGGGACTGATATTTCCTGGCACTTCCCATCTGTACAAACCACCCCATCACCTTCAACACGCACTGCCCAGCGCGGTGAAGTATGGTCACATAGGCACCGCATGTTGTTGGAGAGGGCCCTCATCCAGCCGTGGATTGCCAAAAAGGGCTGTAACGTGTACACGTGCAAAGGTAACGTCGCTTGCGTCGAGGCGTTAATGAAGGGCCGCACAGCTGTTGCGCATGCCCATTTGCACCCAAGTGGAACCGTTGGACCAACGTTGGCTTGACGTTGGCTCAACGTCCCACGTTTACCGAGTTGTACGCATAAGGGGCCGTCCATAAATGACGTCACGCGATTTTTTGACGATTTTTGACCCCCCCCCCCCCTCGTCACACGGCGTCACAAAAAGTCAGACCCCCCCCCCTCAAATATGACGTCACAAAGCTCTGCCCCCTTCCCCCAAAACCATATTTCCATTTTGAAAATAAAACATGCTTCAAATCGCTTTAAAATATCGTCATTGTAGTGCGTATTTAATGTGGCGCTGCACTCTGATCTTGTAGGAGTGTTGTTACAACAATTAGTGTTGTTATAACAATTCTATATTTATTTAAAGTTGCGCATGTTGATGTGACGTCACATTTCTCAACCCCCCCCCCCCCTCGTCACACATCGTCACAAATGTCTGACCCCCCCACCCCCCTCTAGGTGCGTGACGTCATTTATGGACGGCCCCTAAGTGGGATGAAGCAAATTGCTCCCATTACGCCAGCGTGCGTGACTCACGCTGGCTCGCTCACGCGGCTTTATCTGTGGTGGTGGCTACAGTGCAACATCTGCTTCTGGACACAGCACTAAATAAGTATAACCCGTAAAAACAAAGTTTTTCACTATAAATCCTCTATATGCGTGGCGGCTAGAGTCCTCTCGTCCTCTGACTTGAGATGGCTGCCACCTATGGGTCAGATGATTACATTGCACCATTAAGCAATTGGTAATTAAATCTATTTTTGTCCTAAAAAGTGTAAAATTTTGGAAAAAAATTTCACGAACATTAATTGTCACGCACAACGAGTCTGTGTGGAAAATGTCAGCTCGATTGGATCACGGGAAGTGGGTTAAAAACGACCGAAAGATTTGCACGGTCCTAAGCAAGCAAGCGAAACTTAATATAACGGATTTAAAAAGCATCTATGCCTGTCTCTATTTCCTTCTCTGTGTCAGTCGACGTATCAGGCTCTGTGTTCCTTTTCTCTTTGGCTCTGTCTATGTACGTCTCTGTGCCTGTCTCCATATCAAGGTCAATTTCCCCTGTATCACTCCGTCCGTGTCTCTCTCGGTATCTGTCTCTTTCCATGGCATTATTTGTACGTCTCCGTCTTTGTAGCCTTCTGCGTCTGTCGCGTTGTCTCTCTGTGTGTGTGTGGGTCCGTCTCTCTCAATGCCTTTCACCACGTGCCTGTTCCTCTCTCTATGTCTGGCCACCGTGTCTCCATCAATGTATCCACGTCTGTCGTATTCCCTTCCGTGTCCCTCTTTCTGCGTCCGCTCCCGTGTCTTTCTTCACGCGTGTCTCTCTTGCCGAGTCTCTCAGTCTTTCTCTCTCCGCGCCTGCTTCTCTCTCTCTCTTCACGTCTCCAATTGCTTCTCTGCGTCCGTCTCTGAGGATCTTTTTCAGCCCCCCCCCCCATCCGTTCGCTCAGCTATGAGGCTACATTGCCACCTTCTGGATGCTCAGGGCAAAAGCCTAACAGAGGCCCACATCAATCGTGTCACAACTCCAAAGCCGTTGCCATCGTTATGAAAGTTGTATAATCAACTAGTCTTCCCCCCCTTCCTTTAGCAATACCCCAGTAAATATGCAACGCTGGCCCAACGTTTGGTCCAATGGTTTCAAGCGCATGCCAAACGCTGGCCCAACGCTGCATGTTTACTGGGTAAGCATGGGCTATTGTTAATTGCGTTATTACAAAGGTAATTGCGCGGAGAGTAAACATTAAGCGCTTGAATTGCATTATTATTAAAGCTCGTTTTGTGCTGGACCCATTAAGTCCTTCGTCACGTTCTTGCCAGTAAAGTTTAGCTACACGCTGCAAGTGGGAAACTAAGCTGCAAACGCTGGCATTTGATTCGCAGACTACAACATTTTTGTTGAACATGGGTCACTGTGTCAACAAACATTTGACCCATAGATTCATAACACAATGACACCCACACTTTTTGCATTCGTTCAATACAATACAAGGCTGGATACATATATAGCATATATGTTTAACCACCTTGGAACTATACGCAACGAGCGGACATTTATTTTTTTGTCGACAGATGCAGTCGGTCATGGGCAGAGGCAAAAATGTAGAAAGGTCTTGTGCTTGGACGTTCACGGGTGCAGGGAGCCAACAGCACAGATGGCCGGGGGAAGAGATTTCCAGACAGTGGGAGCAGCAGAGGCGAAAGAGCAACCTCTCACTGAGCTAAGGCTGACAGTTCTTCGACAGAAGGTGTTGGCTGCTGGAGCGGCGGGAGGTGCGTGGAGGAGAGTCGAGTGAGATAAGCGGGGGGAGGTAAGAGAGTTTGTGGAGGGGAGTAGAGCGAGATGAGAGGTAGGGGACAGCGTGGAGGAGAGTAGAATGAGATGAGAGGGGAGAGGTAGGGGAGTGTGTGGAGGAGAGTAGAGTGAGATGAGAGGGGAGAAGTAGGGGAGTGTGTGGAGGGGAGTAGAGCGAGAGGAGAGGTAGGGGAAAGCGTGGAGGAGAGTAGAATGAGATGAGAGGGGAGAGGTCGGCCGGGGAGAATGATCAACCTCTCACTGATCGAAAAGTTCCAATGAACCTCACATTTCACAATTAATGACTGACATTGAAAATTATGGGTGTGGGTGTGTGCGAGTGTGCGCGGCCCGTAGATATTCGCTGAAACGCTCAGCACAGACGCTGCCTCCACGTGCCTCCACATTACCTTTAATTCGCTCTCTTTGTCCGCCAAATCGTTGCGGAGCTTCCCCAATCTTTCCCGGAGCTCGGACCGTGACGAGCCCTGTGCCGACCCCGCTGCCGAGCCGTCCTCCGTTCCGGTGAGCCGGGGCATCGCACCGTCGCACCTGCCACACGCGGCGAGGTTGAGACGCTCGTAAGCATCGACACAGTTTCGGATTGTTGATTTTTTTTTATTGCACGGTTTGACCGTTAAACGCATGTTGCGTTTTTTTTACACTCTTAACTGTCAGTGTTATTACGCGTTTCACCTAACATATGCAAACGCAAATGCATTTTTGGACGTTACTCGATGAAAACAGCTTCGTGAATTATGCATGATGATGATGATCATGGCAATGAAATTATGTTAACGCAGACGAAATGGAATCCTGAAATTAGCCCATCTCACGCACACGTGCACACGTGCTCACGACCCAGCAACATGGAACGTCGTGCCAACGTTGGGCCAACGGTCCAAAAACTTCCAACCGCATGCGAACGTTGGCACAACGTTGCACGTTTACCTGCGTGTTTCCCTCCTCACCCCTAGCACCTACCCCTTCCCGCAGCAGCACAGGGGTTTTCTCCGGGCACCAGAGCCAGGGTCCCCTTCCTCCTCGTCGGAGGATGCTCTCCCTTCCACCGCGCGAGACATCCTGTCCTCTCCAACTGCCGCGTCCGCGGTGAGATGGATTGAGACCGAGAGAGGCACGGCAAAGAGACAAACACACGGGAAGAGTTCTACAGCCATGGTTTGGCACCGCGGTGGCGAGATGTTAAATACCTCGCCTGGTAAAACAAAAATAATAGTAGGAATAGATTCATCATTGTTTCGAATTTCTGGCGTCTCACCTGAAGGCGCATGACACCGTTACATGGGCAATGTCGCATGATCCAATTTTTCTATATCTGGCTGTGAGAATTGTTCTTAAACTTACCGGTGAGCGGAAACAGCAATAATTAGCGCGTAGTTAAAACGCTTCCGCTTCCCCGTGACAATTTAATTAATCTGTGCCGTGAAGGGTATCTTACGAGACCTTTTTATGCGAGTATCTTATTTCATCGAGGCGAAGGCTTTCGCAATATGCATTTTGCCCGATCGTGATTAATTATGCCTCACCGCAAGATTCAATTACAAGTCCTTATATCTGCTGCAAAAAAACAGACGTGCTAAGTTTTCTGTCACCCATGTCTGCTTTCTCTGTACCCGGGTGTTCATGACAGGCCGGCGTGCGCCGCCCCCACGAAACGGATGTGTGCCCCTACCTCCCACTGAGGACGGGCAGCTTAACGAGCACTCGGACGAGGTGACATCATCGTCCGTCCTCCCGTCCACGTCCACCTCGCTGCTGCTCCCGCTCGTGGGCCTGCAGAATAATCAGGACTCATCATCATCGTCGTCATCGACATCGTGTGGGCGGTGACGCAGCCCAGCGGCGGCGCATTCGCCGCTCGTTGTTGTTGCAGAGGTGCGAATCCAGCGGCCGCCCCCGATTAATACCGCAGTGTGTGTAATAACCGTAACGATGGTACGTGCCATCTGCTTCCGAGTGGACGTTACAAATCCCCCTACGTCATTCATAAGAGTAGGCCATTGTGTGCCGGCGTCATGATTCACATTTTGTATATTCAACAAAACTAAATCAATATTTTTTACTTAATTTGAATTATTCATGGAAATCATTCCCCTCCTACTGCGAAAACTTGGCAGGACCCCCGTGAAGACAAGTCACGAGACTCTGTGACGCATTCCTAGGCAAAAGAACAAAATAACAACCATAAAACAATTGCATTGCAGTCCAGTACTCGATATCACGCCTCACAGGAGTATACAAAAAAACGAGTCCCGAAGCGCCCAACGGACTGAGCGGAGAACTGCGCATAGGTAGCGGGCACACGGACTTCGAATCGCACGAAGTTTCCAGGACAACCGAATAACATTGGGTGCATTGGAGTGTGTGATACACTGGCACACAGAGCGGTGAGCCCCCCGTGGGACATTGCTATTGAAGTTTAATTACGCTTCTCTTTGATGGTCCTCAGTACCGTTGCCTGGTTGGCATGGGGCCCCGGTGCGAGGAATTCAATGAGGACCCCTCTCCAAAATTCCCTTTCCTCTCCGTAGTCCACCGCATGCCTCCCTCACCCTCAGCCCGGCTCCTTGGGTGCCTGTGCAGTTGCACCGCCTGCGCGGTAGTAATCGATGGCTCAGCCAATGCACCGTCTCGCCACCGTGGCCATGTTGGCAGGCGCTCATCCTTGTTTCACTTTTGGTTCTCAAGGTGAAATCAGAATAAACCGGCGAACGTGTTTTCAATAGGCGTACACCAAACGTATTTTGATTGTGAAGATTATTTTTTTTAAATATATATTGTACTTCAAGCATCAGTCCAATAGGTGTCCCTAGCAAGCCATCATCATCACCATCAAATTCAACCACGCAGTCAACACGCAACGTTGGGCTAACGTTGGCTTGTGGTTGGAACCGTTGAAACAACACTGGCACAACGTTTCTCCAACGTTCCATGTTTACGGGGTAGGGGTGTCACGTTCACGGCACAATTCTGGACGGTCCAGAGATTCCCGTGTGTTGATATTTCGTGATTTTTTTTATTTGCCTTTCTAATTGGTGTTGTTGTTGATTTGTTAGACATTCTATTGCAATGTTGTGGCGCTGAAAACTCAATAATGTTTCTGAAACCGCTATAACATCAGCTTAACTGTGTATGTGACCAATACACTTTGATTGATTGATTGAAGTGCTGAGGTTACGCACTCCCAGAGGGCCGTTTGTATAGAACGTTTTGTTTCCTGCCCTTCTTTTTTTATGGGGTTGCATGACATCTTCTTGAGATGTCATTGTATTTAGACGCAACGCGAGCCCATGTTGCACCGTATTGCACATAAACCCATTGCATACAACAACGAAGAAAAGCAAACTTGGTTTCTTACTCATTGCACTTATGATGTCGGGTGTCGCGAGCTTAATCAATACCAATCGATACGTCGATACATCGTAACAGCCCCTAGTCGAAACCATTGCCAGTGTTAATCGTTGGGAAATATTTACCTTACAATTGCCCATCAGTGTCACGAGAATTTAGTGTAGCTGCCAGATCGGGTTGCCACCTCTTAAGGCACACACAAAAAAAAACGGGACATATCTAGCAAAAAAAATACTATCTCACTGAACCATAAGAGTGGAAAACGGCATGTAAATACATTCTCTTGGCTGGTGTATAATCACCATCATTATCATTACTATCCAACTGAAAACAAAGCTCAGGATGCAATGTCCTAGGAATACTTTTAGATGCCCCAGGACAGCAGCTACCTCCACCAGTGCCGGATTAAGCTAGTGCGGGGCCTGTAGCACATGTTATAACGGGACCCTACGTAAAAAAAAAACACGTAAATATTTAAACACACATTTTTTTACTTGCATAGTAAAGTAATTGTATTTTAAAATTCGCTATACAGCCAGATAATACGACAAATCGTTAGCCTTAAAAACGCAGTCGTTCATAAAAGTTGGAAGCAGTATAGTGCTATATAAATAGAGCAAGTGCAGAATCACTGAACCGGAATTGATAGCTTGAAAGCATTTAGCGCGGGGCTCTGGAACGTGCGGGGCCCGTAGCATATGTAGCTACTTTAGCTGCTAGGATAATCCGGCACTGACCTCAACAAACAAGAGGATGATCTTAGGAGAGAGAAAAATACCAGGACAAGGTGCCCCCCCCCACCCCCCACTATTGCAGCCACGTCCATCTGCAGAAAGATATTTCCATGGCCACCGCATTATTGGACCGACCACCAACCACACTGATGGCGACCGATGTAGGGCCCCACCTGTAACGGTTTCCACCACCTTCCCCACTGGCCCCCTCCCATCTCTTTGGCAGCAACCCCGCTCGTGGCTTCACGTCGTCGCACACAGAGAGAGAGAGACAGACGGGGTGAGGGGCGGGGAGTTTAAGACCCCCTCGCCGTCCCACCGCTCCTCACGGCGCCTTATATGTTTAAAAAAAGCCATCGCTGCGCCCTGCAACAATAGGCGCGCCGAAAGCTGTTGAGAGGCATTGCCATGCTCGTGCACTGTGTTTCCCCTCGCTGTTTCCAGGCGTCTGAACCGTGTCAAGCGTGTGTACGTCCAAGAGCACAGCATGCAGCATTCTAAAAACTAAACTGTTTACATATTTGTTTTACACCAGGTCAGGCCCCGCGAGCCACTTAGCTCTTTTTCAGAAGAGACCAGGCCACAAATGAGATCTCAACGAAGTGGCTTGCCGCGTGAAAACGTACGGCGGCCAAATACGGCCAATTCATACTGAAATAGCCCGTTTAACACGTAGGCTTTCGCGACCAATATTATTCATAATCAACTTTTTTGGGTTATGCGAATTGCCCGATGATGCTGGATGCAATTACCAGCGAAACGTCGTACTACTCAAAAATTGTAAATGTTGTGGTTTCACGCTTCAACACACCAGTTGGCTAAAGTAGTGAACTATTTGTATTTTGATAATTTGTTTTTTTACTCTTTTATCTGGCAACAAAACTGACACATTTTTTACATGGAGTCATGTTTGCATAGACCACAATACCTGCAGTCATAATGTAAACAAAAAACATAACTCTGATAATGTATGCACTGTCCTTGAAGTTGGTCCACACCCGAGACAGCTTGGTCCACACCCGAGACAACACCATGTGAGACTAGGCTCTAAGGAAAGCTGTGTCGGGTGGTGGAGGGTTACGACACATTTATAAATAACGCGATCTAACCCAAAAACGTTGATTATGAATGAAATATCCCGGCGTCATCAAATCTCGGACGCTAAGCTAAGCAGCCTCGAGCCTGCATAGCGTGAAGGTTGGCGGCCACCACGCGTTGAGCTGTGGGAGCTGTGCTGTAGCCGGCAGATGGCGATGTAGACACAACAAATCCACGGTTGCACTGTATTTCTATGCACCCACGCCCATGCTGCCCGGGGTTTATCAGCCCGCACTGCCCAGTGTGGTGAAGTATAAGTTACTCAGCACGAGCCGCGAGGGCGTGGGGCGGCCGTCATCCAGCAGTGGATTGGCAAACGGAAGTGGTGGGGGGGGGTGTGTACACTTGCACATTTAACACATTCCTGCGGAGGGAGCTGGTAGGAACGTTGGGTTCCTCGGTCAATGGCCAGGGTCAACGGCGGCGTGGTGTATTTCGCAAATATGGCCGACTGTGAGAGCGGGCACAAGCCGGCGTGAGTAGGTTAAACGTTGAGGTTTATAAGGGCACCACGGGGTGACCAGCCCCTCCCCACTCAGCCCCACCCCTCCCACCCCCCACCCAGCCCCACCCTCCCCACCCAGCCCCTCTCCACGCAGCCCCAACCCTCCCATTTTTGGGTGCACGACGGACAAACGGACACAACAATCCCCTGTGGGCTGGTGTAACCAGGAGGTTCCTACCAGTACAAGCTGGTGTTTATGCATTCTGACGTTGCTTGAAAAGTATTGCTGGTGGAGAAAGAGAGGGGGGGGGGGCTAGTTCCCCACGATGCCTCGTGGCTTCCAGACCTTTCACCTTGACGCGTATTGACGATTACGTTCTCCAGACAACAGCAATTGCCGCGTGTCTGGTCAGGCCCCGTATGGGGTAGTGGGGGGGGGGGGCTTTATTTACCGAACGCCCGTCAATGTTTACCCCAGGCGCGCGCGCCACCCACCGAGAGCTGGAGGCCAGACGACAGAGAGAGAGATGGGGCTCACGTCATCGCTGATCAAGGAGCAGGGCGCAAACCCAGCCGTTCGTGTCTTGGGGGGGTCAAGCGATGCCCGTGTGGGCGACGATCGCGCGCGTCGTGTCGTCCGTCGGCGCGCGGGCCGTGGGATGGCTGGTGTGCATGGACTGTGTGTTGAACTTCTTTCGCGCCGTACGTCGCAAACCGTGCTGGGCGACGGACGACAAACTGAACACGAAAAAAAGCAGCTATCGAGAAGTGAGTTTTCAATCTAGATGTAAAAGTGCATAGCTCCAGTGGCTTCCTGAGATCGGGAGGAAAAGCGTTCGAGACGCCCGCAGAAGGGCTGACTCTCTTTTGTCCCATGGCTAGCCAAAAGCCGCTGCGAGGATGACCGGAGATCGCGTGATGGTTCATAGCCCTTGACGAGATCAGCAAGGTACTGTGGTTCATTTGCGGCGAGCACTTTGTGAGTGTATCATGAGCGCGACTTTGCAATGTACTCGTTCGGCAACCGGATGTCAATGCAGCTCAGCGAGCCACTGAACGGACACGGTCGGATCTTGCAGTACCCCGTCACGACACGTGCCAGATCATTTTTGTCCACCCTGCAGCATGGTGATGTTTTAAAATGT